TGCCTTGACTTTTAAAAATACTCGTTAAAAAGAAAAAAAATGCGTATGCTTGATAAATATATGCGCTTATTCAAAGACATAGAAATGAATAAAGATAAATTTGTAATCTCTTCTTCAGAATTATTATTACTAACATTTTTATTATTTTTTTGGCAACAATTTTGGTTTCCCAGCTACAATGATGATTAATTTGAAGATTCAGTAGTAGGATTTAAAGGATTATAGAGTAAATTACTCACACTCCAGTAGGTAAGACATCCCTTGAAAATACCAATATCATTCACTACATTGGACTTGTCATAGAAATTAACCGGTAAAATCAATTTCCTTGTTTACTTATGTATACAAGAACTGGGATGTAGGCCAGACATGGGAGAGATAGAGGATTCACCAGAGACAGAGTGGGGAGCAGAACAGGCAGCATGCAAGATAGGAGAGGTCTGCTTCGCTCTGTGGGTCACTATGGAATTCATGCTGTGCTGGCTTGATATTTCCGTGTCTTTAACCCTTGCATAACCAGGGAGTTCCCAGTTTCCTCATTAATGCGACTTGTTGGGTATGTTTTTGGTAGGTGTGCAAAAAGCATGGTGTTCATGGTGGTAAACAGTTATTTGACTAGAATTAACATATAAAACATGAGTTGACAGTAAGTTCTTAACTCAGGTGCAAAAAAGAGAGATGATAAAACGTCATCCAGGAATTCCGAAACTCACACACCTGTTAATGAAATCACCTTCTAGGAGTCCAGGTTAGACTAACACCTTGCTGAATAATGGGTCGTTTCCTTGTTTACTCACCCACTCCTGTTGTCACCTATACCTCCTCTGCACAGCTGAATGTTTAAGAAGCAAATTTACCACGTTCTAGGAAATGCACCCTTTCTCTCTTCAGATAAGTTTATAGATCAAATTATTTTTCACACCCATTAGCCTCTCTGAGGCTTAAAATCATCTCTCTGCAGCAAATAGGAATTTTTTTTTTGAGTGTGGATGTTTGAAAATTGCTACGTAACATGACTAATCAGAAAATTGTTTGATCTTCAGTGCCTAAAATTTAACTTTATTTCTGTTCGCATCCACTTTTGTAGAACTCAGACTTTTTTTTAAAGGGAAAAAACAACAGAACCCCAGGATCCTTACTGAACAAAATAATGTTATTCTATTACAGTATGCACTCTATTCCCCTTATTTCTCAGCCTCACCACATCTTTGTTTCTTAAACCACCAGTGTAAGTATATTTTCTTTTTTGTAAGTTTCAAGATAAAATTGATGCCTTTTTTAACACAAAGCTTCTAAAGTTATAATCTTTCAAGTCTTAGACTATTGGGGTTTTTTTTTTTGGCAAATCAAAATTTAATGAAAGCAAGATGAAAATTGTTCTGAGCTGTGTTTCTCTTGTAATTATCTGTGGTACATTTTACAAGAAAAGTTGGTGATTTACATGTGCAAAATTAGGGTATATGGTAAGAGACGTTTGGGCATCTTTAAATTTGGAAAAAGGCTTTTTGGTAAATGGTAGCCAAAAGTAAGCCATTACTGCTTTGCCATCTTTAACAACCAACATCTGTGAATAGGAGTGTTGGCTAATTAAGTCTCAGTGAGATTTGTAGAAGTAACGACTATATGTGGTCACTCAACCACATTCTTAGAATTTTATCTTTTTGCCTTGTCTCTGAGTCTTCTCTCTCATTGCAAGCATTTTATATATTTATAAGCATAAGGAGTGGATACTTTTTTAATTCTTATTTTAAGATTTATTTTCATGTATGTATACAAGAACTGGGGTACAGGCCAGAGGTTGTAGGGAGTGACATGATTCACCAGAGACAGATTGGGGAGCAGAACAGGCAAATCGACGAAGTACACTGAGGGGAGCAGCGGGGAGATAGGAGAGGGCTGCTGCGCCCTGTGGGTCACTCCCTGGTAGGGGATCAAACTCATAGCTTAATAGCCACTAGGGAGGCCTCCTCTACTTATTTTAATTAACATACCATAAATCTGTTCTCTGAAATGCAGTATACCCTTTTAATTGTCATTCTAATGTGTTCATGGGATTACAATAATTTAAACATTATTGAATAGTTACCGATTTTTAGAAAAGTTTTAAATAATGCAGCAGATTGAACAGGTATAATACCATTAATGATGCGTTTTCATTTGTAGTTTTAACAAGTTCATGGAGAAGAGAATGAAACAGAGCGATTCTTTTGGACTTATTGGTTTTTACATGAAAGATAATGTAATGGTGTTGGTTTTGTAAAAGCTAACCCTCTTTGCTTTATTTTGATTATATAGTATTTGGATTTTCACAAGACTACTGGTCCAACCTAGAGTTGGAACAGATTTACATCATTACTCTTTAAATCTGATTTATTTTCCCTTAGGAATAAATTTTGAAATACCTCAGTATATAGTCTCTTATACTCCGTTTGCTCTGTCTCTGTATTTACACATACCCCAAGCTACGTGCCTAAGACAGCTACTTACATATCGCAGAGTGACACATCTCTGATTGAATTCAGTAGCTAGTGAGTCCCACAAGGCAGTAAGCCCACAGTGCATAGCAGAATGGCTTGGGCACAGGGCTCAGCGACTGAAATGTCTTACGTAATGGGCGGACATTGCTTGAAACAGCGTTCTAAGAGTCAGGTTGTGAAGTGGCGATTGTCTGCGTGGTAAATATGGAACTTTGACAGTCCTGGTCTCGGTGCTTCAGAGGAACTTCCTACTGGTGCTGATTGTGTAGTGATACTGTTTGCTCAGTAGCAAGACAGATGGCAGGTCCATGGGTTACCGAGTTGTTTCTATTTTTATTCAACAAATGAGGCCACTGCCATAGTTTATCTTTTTTTTAAGACTTAGTCCTTTAGGGCCTCCCTGGTAGCATCACGCTGGGGCTGTAGCCACTTGAATGCAAGTTCAATCTCCGGAAGTGACCCCCAGGGCACAGCAGACCTCTCTTGTCTCACCCAGTGTCAGCTGTGTACTTTGTTGACCTGTCTACTCTGCCCCCCACTCTACCTCCGGTGAATCCTCTCACTGCTCCTGCACGTCTGGCCTGTACCCCAGTTCTGTATGCATACATAAATAAGTCTTTTTAAAAAGTTATTCCTTGATTGTAATATTTACTTTGTGTAGAAGAACTGAGGTACAGGCTAGAGGTATGGTGGGTGAGCCGTCTCCCAGAGACAGCGGGAGCAGAATAGGTGGATCTAGTGAATACGGGCAGGTCAGGAGAGGTCTGCCGCGCTGGGGGTCACTCCCTGGTGGGGATCAAACTTGATAGTGCTGGGCTCTTAACTCGTGCCACCAGGGACACAACAGTTTATAGGTCAGACTGACGTCAGTCTTAATTGCCCATTGAGAACCTGCCAGAGTCAGCCGTGATCTGGGAAGACAGTTCCTTCCTCTGTGAAGAAAGGGCCTCCTAACCAGCACTCCCTCCCTGTTACTTCGAGGTAGCAGGGGCCCCTTCCTCTGATCCTGAATGAGGGTTGAATGGCCCCAGAACTAGGAAGTGTCCGAGACATGGTTTGAATGTAGGTTGTCTGACTGAAGCGTGGTATGCATCCTCTGGAGGGCGGATCCATTTTTAATAGTCTTTCATTCATGATCATACTAAAATTGACTGATACAAAATTATTTTTTAAAACGTGAATTGTTTCGTGTTGTCTTTCATGAGTGAAAAAGGTGGCAAGTGGCCACACGAACAAATGGCCTGGCTGCGGCGCGTACGTTGGTTTCTCTGCAGTACTTTTACATAGGTAGTTGGTTGGCTTCATTGAAAACCGGCATAAAGGGTATCAGTTTAGGCTCTATCCAAATTTGATGCTTGCGAAAAACCCAATGTGTGTCATTATGCCAGTCAAAGGCAATTTGTGACCGCAACAAAACCTCAGTATTTGGGGCCAAAAATAATGTATTCTGTTAGCGCTAATTATCCTCCTTGTTTGTTTTTCTAATAGAAAAGGATGGCAAAGCATTTCATCCAACTTACGAAGAAAAACTGAAGCTTGTGGCACTGCACAAACAGATCCTTATGGGTCCGTATAATCCAGACACCTGTCCCGAGGTCGGGTTCTTTGATGTGTTGGGGAATGACAGGAGGTAACGCTGTTTTGATATATAATGAATCAATGAGAAAACTATTGAACAGGGTGCAAAGTGAGTTGGTTAAGTTGTAAATAGCCTGAACTGTTAGGTCAGAAAAAGAATTGAAACAAACATTTTGCTTATAGCTTCTTGGAGTCTTCAGATGTTTGTTTTTGGTTTGGAGGTGTTTATGGCTAAATATTGTGGAAGAGGTTTACTCATCTGCCTGTGAACATAAGACACGTACAGCTCATCTGATTCTACCTGAGTAGTACTAAAAGCAGCCATTTAAAATATTTAGAAATTGATGCCCCTCTTGGGACATAGAGAGTTATAACAAAAATGTACACCGAATATTTTATTCAGTTAAATATGATATAAAGAAAATAAAGCTTTGATACCCTTTTGCTTGTGTGGACATCATTTAGCATTGCAGCTGTATTGACGTTTACAATAGTGAGTTTGGAGTGTCTAAGCAACCCTAATTCTGTAAGTCGGTACACGTTCATTGAAACTTGAAGTTTTGAGCCTTTTGCCTCACGCTCATTGTTTATTTTGCTTATAAGTGAGAATAGTAAATATTTGGTCTTAAATTAGAACAAATTCTCTTTTCTTTAGAACAAGCAGTCATTTTTCTTGTTATTCCTTACAGGAAAGAATGGGCAGCTCTCGGAAACACGCGTAAAGAGGATGCCATGGTAGAGTTTGTTAAACTCCTAAATAGATGTTGCCATCTCTTTTCAACATATGTTGCATCCCACAAAATAGAGAAAGAAGAACAAGAAAAAAAAAGGTAAAGTTTGAGGACACAGAAGACTGTCTCCCAGAATCGAGACTTGCTTTTGGGAGTGGTGGTTCTGAATCGGGTCCCCACTTCTTTCTGGCAGTTGCGCAGACTCCGGATTATGCAGGCGTTGGATTGTGGGGGCAGGGGATCACTGGCTGTAGCTTCAGGAGGAGTCATCGAGCCTTCATGGCTGCGTGTTTTTGTCCTAATTCCATTAATTATTGAGCAAGTCCCGGTAAACGCCTTATCTTCCGGTCCGACAAGCCCTTTGATGCTGCCTACCTTGAGCTTTTAGCACAGTCACATTCCGCATCAGAGCAGTCCGCGTGCTGCATTGGCAGGCAGTCAAGTTGCCTCTGATTACGACTCCCAGAGGGTTCATGAATTATTTCTGGGGCTGCGAGAGGGAGCTGCTGAGCCACTGTGTTTATAGAATGCTCTGTGTGATGGTGAATTCAGCTGTATTTGTGATTATGAAGTTAGTAGATTTGACACCTTATCTAGGTTTTTTTTTTTTTTTTTTAATTTATTTATGCATACAGAGCTGGGGTATAGGTCAGAGGTGCAGGAGCACTGAGAGGAGTCACCAGAGACAGAGTGGATGGGGAGCAGAACAGGCAGATGGGCAAAGTACACTGCTGAGGGGAGCAGTGGGCGAGACAGGAGAGGTCTGCCAGGCCTTGTGGGTCATCTCCAGGGCGGGGATCGAACTCGCACTGAAGTGGCTGTGGACAGCTTGCAGTGCTGCGCCTTTACCCTCTGCGCTACCAGGGAGGGCCCCTGGGGTTATATTTTCAGTGATTTTGACTACCTATAATTTCTAGGTAGGGGCCTCCCTGGTGATGCAGGGGTTAAAGTCTCAGTGTTATAAAGCTACTGCCAGCCACTGCAAGAGTTTGATTCTTCTACCAGGGCCCTGACCCCCATGGTGCAGCAGACCTCTCCTGTCTTTGTCTGCTGCTCCCCTTAGCAATGTATTTTAGTAGATCTATCTATTCTGCTCCCCATTGTGTCTCTGGTAATTGCTCTCTCCTCCACCTATCACACACCTGGCCTACAACCCAGTTCTTATATGCATAAATACATAAAAACAAATCTTTGAAAAAAAATTTCTAGGTAATAAAAATAATTCCATAAAACCAAATTTTCCTTATATTTATATTTTGAACCATTTGTTTATTTATGCACACAAGAACTGGGGTGTAGTCTGGAGGTGGGGGTTGGTGAAAGAGACAGAGTGGGGAGCAGAATGGGTTGATGGACTGAAGCACACTGCTGAGGAGAGCAGCGAGCGAGCGAGACAGGAGAGGTCTGCTGCGTCCTGTGGGTCCCTCCCTGGCAGGCTGGGGATCAGACTCTTGCTGCAGCGGCTGGCAGTAGCTTGATAGTGCAGTCTTTAACCCCTTCGCCACCAGGGAGTCCTTAATTTTACTTATTTTAAAAACAGTTGCTTGGTTTCCCACCTTACTTAGATTGGAAATTACAGAGTAGAAGGGAAAGCATCTTCATATAAAGAAAGGTCAGAAACCTTGAGAAATAGACAAAAGAATTATAAAAGTGCAGTCAGGGTCTATTTTTTTAAAAAGATGTATTTTTTGCATAGAAGAACTGGGGTGTAGGCCAGAGGTGGGGAGGGTGAGGGCAGTCACCAGAGATAAAGTGGGGAGCCGAACAGCTGATTTGCTGAAGTGCACTGCTGACGGGGGCAGCAGATGAGACCGGAGCCTCTGCTGCCCCATGTGTCGGTTAGCTCCTGGTGGGCAGTGGAGCTCGGGCTCTAGAGTGACGGCACTGACCTAAGCCCGGGGCTACCAGGGAGGCCCTGCTGAGGTTCCTTTACTAGCAAGCTGGTTACATGCTAGAGTCCGTTGGGTCCGTAAGGCAGAGCTGTCGGGGCTTTGACTGTGTCACGCTACATTTTTTTCATCAGCACATGGCAAGTTTATTAAAGAGAACAAGGAAAGAGATGCCTGCATAGACACAGGAGGGCTGTCTTAAAAGGCATGAGCTGGGCACATGAGCTGGGGCACAGCGGGTTAGGGCGCAGCACTGTGAAGCTGTCCACAGCCCCTGCAGCACGAGTTCCATCCCAACCCCAGAGCTGACCCACAGGGCGCGGCAGAGCCTCCTCTCTCGCCTGCTCCTCCCCTGAGCAGTGTATTTCGGTTGATCCACCTGTTCTGCTCCCCACTCTGACTCGGGAATCACTGAAGCTCTGACTTGCAGAGCACCTACCCCGTACCAGCTGTGACCTGTGAAAGTAGGTCCTGATGCTGCTGTATTTTGAGCCTTGACCATGGCTCAGGTTTGCTGTTAGCGCAAAAATGGTGTCTTCTCACAATCCTCAGAGATTCTCTTCCACCCCATTTTCAGTCTCTTGACCCCACACCACTCTTAGACCTGTGTGGCATCATTACTAGTGCAGCAGGATCCGTTCTCACTTGGGAGAGGGACTGTGGCGTTGAGGACAGAGAGGGTAAGAGCTGCATCTCGATTTCAGAGTGTTCTTTAGGTTAAAAAGCATATATTCAGAAATAGTAAGTACAGGCGACGCGAGTTATCTCCTGCTTATGCAACGAGCGCAGCGCACATGAACCCCTGCCACCCCGGTAACTTACGCATCACGCATGATGACTGACGCCTTAAGCTACACCTCCCAGGCCTTTCTGTGTCCACCTGCTTTTTATCACATTAAACAGATACACTATTAAATATCTTTAATATTAAGCTGTGTAGGTTTTTTAAAATTGCTGCACGGTGTTTCAGGGTGGATTACTCTTTGCTGCGAGCTGGTTCTGTGTAGACTGCTAAATCCTGAGGCTGTAGGTGTTGGGGCACAGTTTGCCCTTACGTGGCCTGGACACTAGTGCTGGAATGACGTGTGTGTCGCCAACGCTGGTGCACATTTCATTGCAGCTACAGCAGTAGAAAAGAAAAAGCTCATGATACTGTGTGCGTGGGGAACCATCGTTATGGACACAGCATCATGATTTTAATTTTACTTTAAAATATTTTTTTTTGCATTGTTCATTTTTTAAAAAGATTTATTTTTTGATGTACACAAGAGCTGATGTACACAAGAGGTACAGGGAGTGAGCGGACTCCCCAGAGACAGAGTGGGGAGCAGAACAGGTGGGTCTACTGAAATCCACTGCCAAGGGGAGCCGCGGGTGGGTCAGGAGAGGTCTGCTGCGCCCTGTGCGTCCCTCCCTGGCCGGGGATCGAACTTGTGCTCATGCCATAGTTGCTGCCATGTCTTGATAGAACAGAGATTTCCCCTTAAGGGAGGCCCTAGGGTTTTTTTTTTTAATTTTTACAACAGTTTATTTTTACATCATTTTGTACGTTTTTTTTTCCTTTTTTTTTTTCTTTTCCATCTCAATTGTAATCCCCGCGGGCCTAGGTTATTTTTAAAAAGAATTCTTTGTGGGGTTCATTCTCTGTCCTTTTCCTTATAGGAAGGAGGAGGAAGAGAGAAGACGGCGTGAAGAGGAGGAAAGAGAGCGTCTACAAAAGGAGGAAGAGAGACGGCGGAGAGAAGAGGAGCAGAGGCTGCGGCAGGAGGAGGAAGAGAGGCGGCGCGTGGAAGAGGAAAGGCTTAGGCTGGAGCAGCAGAAGTAAGCGTGCTGATGACTCGCGTTTAAGAACGAGAAGTGGCTGCCACGCTGCTGACTCCCGCGCGTGCCCGGGAGGAATTCTGTGGCTGCAGAAATGGCTGCTGGCCAGTTGTAGCGCTTACCCCTTCATACCAGTGGCCTGCTACCATAGGGCTTCGGGTTGCATTATTTGGTTGCAGAAAGAGACTGCTGGAAGGTTTTGGGATGAACTCTCAGAACCCAGGGGCTTGAACAGGAACTGATGCGGCCGCTTCCCCTTCTCTGGGTCCACGTCTCTGCTTCTCCCAGTTTAAGTCTCCGCTTCATTCTCCTCTTCAAATCGTCACTTTCTGCTTGGACGTGCATAGGACGGTCTGGCCCCGCCTGGGTCTGCGTGGTCTATGTCCTCGTGTGTCTGACAGGCTGGCATCTGGGAGGCCCAGTTGAAACTCCCATGACGGATCCTAGTTTGTCCACCCTGTCGTGTACCTGTTCCTAGTCAGAATTTGGGAGCCGAAGCCCTATTTCTTACTCAGTAAGGACTGTGGATTGGGTCTTCAGGAGCAAGTAGGAGATGATAGGAACGAACGTATATGCCTGTGAACCTGCAGGAAAGAAACCTGGGGCTCGGGGCGGCGTGGGGTGAATTAGACCAGTAGTCCACTTCTTTCTGACTAACCCCAAACCAGCCTGCAGCTTCATTCTGCTTTGGAAAGAAGCCGTGCTACTCTTGAGGCTAGTGGTGGCGCCCTAGGGAGACGCAGGGTCATAGTCTACCCAGGAGTTTGTGAGATTTTGCTTTGAAGTATACCTGTAAAACAGTAGGTGGCTCTGAGGTCTTTATCGAAGTTATTCACATAATTGAATTAACAAGCATGCGGTTCTTTTATAAAAGAGAATTGTAATTAGAACAGAAATTAGTATGTCTAAACTAGATACTACTTTAGTGTTCTTTAGGCAGGCTTCACGTGAAATGGGAAGACAGTCAGATTTTCATGGCCGCATTTAGCGTTCCCAGGCCACTAACATCATCTTCCAGCTGTCCTGCCTCTCAGCGCTGTCCACCGCCGGAGGTAGAGACGCCGTGCTGACAGCTAGTCTTCCTCTCCGCCACAGGGGCCCCTGCTTGTGGGGCGCTGTGGCTGCAGCGTGGGCTGGACCCCCGACCCGCTGCCTGGCTGACGCCTGCCTGCGGGGTGTCTGGGAGCGGCGCCCTCCCGCCAGCTCCTGTGCCTCCACTTGTCTCTGTGCAGGCCTGAGGCCGGGGGGGTGGGGTGGGGGGTGGGAACCCTGCAGATGCTTGAGCGCGCGTGGCAGAGTAAGGTCGCGCAGGTAGAGGCGGGGTGAGGCGGTGCTTGTTGCTCCCCTCTGCCCGCACTCTGCAGGCCGAGCACAAGACGAAAGTTCGAGTTAAGTGTCTCACGTCTTTCTTCTGGGCCTGGAACACATCTATCTGGTACTCGTTACGTCTTTTTAAGTTACAACTTATAAGAATAAATCAAAAGGGCGTTTTATTTTGTCAGTGAGCGACCTCCCGCAGTCAGACAGTGTTTCTGGTGTTTCAGGCAGCAGATAATGGCAGCCTTAAACGCGCAGACCGCCGCGCAGTTCCAGCAGTACGCGGCGCAGCAGTACCCGGGCAACTGCGAGCAGCAGCACATTCTCGTCCGCCAGCTGCAGGAGCAGCACTATCAGCAGTACATGCAGCAGCTGTACCAAGTCCAGCTGGCACAGCAACAGGTACGCCACACCACCCGGACCCAGCCTCAGAGAGTGTTCGCGGTGTCGCAGGAACCCAGGTTCCGACTGTCACAGTTCAGAGGTGTAAAGTGACGGAGGTGGCCTTTGTTGAGGGAGACTAGATTATTCTGGCAGTTATGTGAGAAAATACACAGTGACTGATCCCGAAGCAGCTCACGGTATGACCACTGTTATTTTGGGATTTGTGCAGACTGTCATTCAGGCGAGTCTGACCTCGACTCTGATAGTGTTGTGCACTCGTGAGGACTTGGGTAACAGGCCTTAACCCCAGCACACCCTCTGTGGAGGGCACCGGCACAGGCCCAGAAGCTTCCAGGGGAGGGCCCCTGTGTCCTTAGGGCGCCAGCCGGTCCTGTGGAGCCGGGTTGGCTGTGTGAAGGTTTGCGGCTACCGTAACTGACCTGTGTCCTCGCCCAACTCCCCAGCCCCGATTATGTTGCTTCCACGTGGGAGTAAGGTTTAGGGACGAGAGCATGGGGGTGAGGGTTGGATAATAGTTGGGTTCTGTTCCGGCTTTTTGCCCTTACCTTGTTTGATCCCAGAACCATTACCTGCTGCTCTGGTTTTTCTGCTTCTCTCAGTTAAGAATATAAAGTCCTGTTACTTTTTCTGTTAAGCTTCAAGAACTATCGGGAGAATGAAAAACAGTTTTTACTCTGTCAAAGTACTTTGTACAAATAGAAGAAAGCTGTTCTCATATTCTCTTTTTTACCTCTTGCAGCAGATTAAAATGCTTCTTAAACTTAATCTAGAGAAGTTGTGCTTAGTGATTTTTACTTACAAAGTTTACCTTTACAAAGTTTACCATCTGTCAAACCTGAATGAAGTACTTCATTCATTATAGCTACTCAGCATTTCTTACTAAGAGAAGTAACCTGTTGTTTGCCAACCTCTTCACATTTCTTGAAAACTAACATCTGTAGCAAGAAGACCTGTTTCCTCAATCTTGTGGATTAGTGAGAAGTTAAAAGCACCGCTTATTTTGCTTAACACTCCATGACTGGAAGAAAATATTAAGGGCCCTCCCTGTTGGCGCCAGGGATTAAAGCACAGCACTGTGGAGCTGTCCGTAGCCACTGCAGTGCGAGTTCGATCCCCAGCCAAGAGTGACCCACCTGTCTCGCCTGCTGCTCCCCTCAGCAGTGTTTTTAGTGGATCCACCTGTTCTGCTCCCACTCTGTCTCTAGTGAATCCTCTCACCCCTGCACCTCTGGCCTGTGCCTCAGTTCAGTTTCATTTGTGTTCTAATGCCTATTTCTGCCTCAGCTTATCACCCCTTTTATGGACATTGAGATAGTCTTTAGTAGAATAGTCATACATACTATCTCTTTTATAGGTTGCTATCACTTAATGTGAAAAAGTCTTGTAGAGCAAAGCCAAGAATTTTGAAAACAGAACTAGGATCCATGATTTAGATTACAAGGATCCAACTTGATTTATCTTATTGTTTGGCTATCTATGGGAGAAGAAAGGAAAGGGACTGAGAACGAAACACAAGGAACTTCAGCCCCTTAGACTACTGATTTACATGTATATATAAATCCACACACCCTGAGCAAAATGACTAACTGGAAACACTTTTTAATTTGGAGACAGTTACATGGGTGTTTATTACATGGTTTCTATATTTCAGATTTTCAAAGCTACAGAAAGTATAAATTGATATTTACATAAGTAGATGTCTATCCATGGGTAGTGGGATTCTGAAGAAGAAAGACGTTCACTCTGCTAGTTTTAAGAATGGCCCCGTGGGTGGGCTGGTCTGGGCTTTCTGAGCCGAGCACCAGCAGGAGTGCTTTTTGCTCTCTTGTCTTGTGGTAGGTATTGTGAATTGCTGACTTACCCTGGTTGTATGCACATCTCGGGGCACTGGCACTCTTTCTGTGAGGTTTTGGAAATTACTTAGAATCTAGGTCTTGGGAGAAGACCTATTTTCTATTCCTTAGGTAGCGCTCTGCGGTAGCGGTAGAGGTGTTGCTGTTCAGGTGGTTGGCTTATAAATGTGTGAAGGAAATGGGTGTCAAGCTAGGCCAGAATCTTACTATCCCTCAGCCACGAGGTTAGAGAGGCTTATTTTCCTATATAGTTTTAACTATTGTAACATCTGCTCACTTGTGACCTTAGTGTTTTCATTTAAGAAGTTACTTAAATGGCTGAATGGTCATCAATAGTAGATTGGATGCATTTTATATTTTCACCCACAAAAAAATTCCTATAGCAATGTAAACAAATAAAACACAATTACTTACCTTACGACCTGATTAAAAAAAATGCTCCTCACAAAAATAAAGTTGAGTGAAAGAAATCAGATACAAAAAAGAACATTTGCTATACAGTTCTGTTTATATAAAGTTCAAAAACAGGGCCTTCCTGGTGGCACAGGGGTTAAAGTGTCAGCACTATCAAGCTCTTGCCAGCCACTGCAGCCTGAGTTCGATCCCTGGCCAGGGAGTGACCCACATGGGGCAGCAGACCCCTGCTGTCTCGGCCCTCTGCTCCCCTCAGCACTGCGTTTCAGTATGCTGTTCCCTTCCCCACTCTGTCTCGGGTGAAGTCTCTCACCCCCCCCCTCCACCCAGTTCCTGTATGCATAAACAAATCTCTAAAAAATATATAAAGTTCAAAAACAGGCAAAGCACATCGACAGTGTTGTAAATCAGAATAGCTGTTACCCTTGGGCCTCGGGGGCGCAGTCCGGGGCACCAGGAAGGCTCTGGAGTGCATTGCCCTCGGGCTCCGTGTGGGTGAGGTAGGTGCTTTCGATTTGTGGGAATCGAGCGCTGTACTGTACGTGTGGTGTGTTTTCTGTGTATATGGTTCTGTGTGCGTGCTAGGATTCAATTAAAAGTGCTCTTGAAGTTGCTTAAATAATACTTAGATATTTTTAGTAGTATTAATATCTAGTTACCAAAGGGGACTGTCCCACAGTAGCTGTTTTGTGTGCTTCAGGCGACTTTACTCTCCATTTTAATTTCCTGTTTATGAATATACATATTTTAATCATAATTATGTAAACAGTAACAAGTGTTCATTTAGTGTTTGGACTACAAATTCCATGTGCGTATTTAATTCTTAAGCCAGTATTTTTTACAACTCGGTTAATGATTTTCCATTTTATTGTACTAAGGTTTTCCTGTATATAATTTACAGTGAAGACCTAATAAATTTTGTTACATTGTATACTTGATTTGTTGGTTACTTTTCAAGGCCCTTATACATTTTCCCAACTGTAGCTTTTCTTTTTGTGAATATTCTTCTGTGACCATTTATGTCTACCCAATTTAAATTTTCCTGATTTAAATTTTATATATCTGAATTTATCAGAATTTCTGATCAATTTTAAGAATAAATGTTTCTCTGTTCAGTTTTTGTCCTTATGTACGTTCTGTTTTCGACCACTTATTTTTACCTACTTAATTGTTCCTCAATTGATCACAAACGTGATTCTCCATTAGAGCTTTTTGTTATGTCGTCATTTTTATCTTTTGGTTTGGCGTTGTACTAATACTCATTATTGATAGGATAAATAGCATAAAATTTACTAGTAATTTCTTGGAGCCCAGTGCTTTGTTAGGGCGAAAACATGGGCTCATGATGCACTTGTCATAACTGCCCCGGCCACCCCTGACCGGTGCGTGCCGCTGTCTCGCCTCGCAGGCGGCGCTGCAGAAGCAACAAGAGGCGGCCGCGACTGGGCCGTCGTCGTCCGCGACATCCAAAGTGAGTGCGTCTGCGCCGAGCGACGTGCTGTCCGTTAATGGACAGGCCAAGACCCACACGGACAGCTCTGAGAAAGAGCTCGAGCCAGAGGCTGCAGAAGAAGTCCGTGAGAATGGGCCAAAAGGTACGGCTGATTCCGCAGCTCTTTCTTGTCCTTTGAAAGCAAGTAGCAGGCTTGCAGGAAGACCTCGTCTTGGAATTCTTGGCTTCTGCCCCTGCCAGCCCCCCCCCCCACTTTTTCCCTCCTAGTAATAATTTACTGCTATATTCAAATAAATACTTGGTCAGAGACGTAACTCTGGAAACCTCTGTGTAGTCCCAGGCACTGACCACAGGCAGGGCCAGGCACTGACCACAGGCAGGGCCAGGCACTGACCACAGCAGGGCCAGGCACTGACCACAGCAGGGCCAGGCACTGACCACAGCAGGGCCTCCCCTTTTGTGCCACTCCTGGGGTCTGGCCCCCTGAGCTTCCTGGGCGTGCGTGCCTTTAGGATGACGCCTAAAGCTCTGGACACTCAGAGGTGAGGACTGTGGTGGGTTGGTGGATTGTGAGGTTCGGCTGTGGGAAGCTGGCACTAAAACATCGAGAAAGTGTGGCATTGACATAACCCCACTGAGAGCCGGTTTCGTCAGTTTATTCAGAGATTCTTTATTAGCACCTCTAGGCATGCGATAAGATTCATGAGGAATCAAGACTCGGGAACACCCAGCACCACAAAGCAGGCGCTCACAAGTTTAGTTACCTCCTCCTCTGACTCTCCTTGACCTGATGAGCCTCCGCAGCTGGAGCTTAGGAGAGAATTTTATGTAATTCTCAAGCAAAGTTCTCCTTCCTGCCTGGCTTCCTTCTACTTTCTCCTTTCTCTTTTCTTTTCTTGAATAGTGTGAAAACTGAGCTGAAACACTGAAGTGAAGGCCCAGCTTTCTTTGTCCACATCCAAAAATGAATTTACTCCTAAATCCAGAGCGCTTTCTTTTTAAAACGTTTCCTAGCTCCTGTTAGGAAGTTTCCAAGGTCATTCTTAAATCCTGTAGGTTATTAGAGTGCTGGGGGGAAAGAGTCACTTCCAGGGTCATGGACTGCGAGTCAGCTGAAGTGGTTGGTGGTGTAGACGTAGGCTCGTGGCGTAGCACGCGGCGCTGGCCACTAAGGGTGCGGCTGAGGTCCTGGGCGCGGGTGTGCCTGCGGGTGAAGCCTTCTCTAGCTTTTGTAATTCCTGTTGCTTTTAGAATCTCTTCCAGTAGTAGCAGCACCATCCATGTGGACACGGCCCCAGATCAAAGACTTTAAAGAGAAGATTCGCCAGGATGCAGACTCCGTGATTACAGTAGGCCGCGGGGAGGTCGTCACTGTTCGAGTACCCACCCACGAGGAGGGATCTTACCTCTTTTGGGAATTTGCTACAGACAATTATGACATTGGGTTTGGGGTATATTTTGAATGGACAGACTCTCCGAACACTGCTGTCAGCGTGCACGTCAGTGAGTCCAGCGACGACGACGAGGAAGAGGAAGGTAGACGCTTTGTCTGTTCTCGGTAGCTGCTGGGTGTGTTGCCGGAAAGGCTCTGGCTCCACGTGCACCAGCCTCAGGCTTCCCGATGAGCGCTTCGCGGACAGGGCTGGCTGCGGGGTTAGGAGAGAGGCCGCCTTCTTGCAGGGCTCAGTCGGGGGTTTCTTTGAGAACCGGAGAAGGTCTCGTAGACAGTTTCTTATTTTACCATTCTCAGTAATATTTACTGGCAGCCTCGTGTGTTGAAAAGCTAAATGTGTCAGGTTTTTTGAAAATTTTTGTAGAAGCAAGCAAGAAATTCTGCCAACTTTGTATTTTTGATATTTGTTTTTTAGGTGGTTAATCAACGATTCCATAATGTAAATACAAAAAATCCCGCCTAAATTTTTTTTTTTTCAATTTTCCTTTCCTTTTAAAATTCCCACTTTACTAAAGTGAAATTTCTTTCTTTCGACTAACTTGACAAAATTGGGTGTTTCCAAGAACAGGCAAAACTACCTTGGACTAGGATGTAAGTTGTAAAATGAGTTGATTATTTATTGAGAAAGGTGGTCTCTTTAATTTTGTTATCCAGAAGAGTTGGAACTCAGGACTTCTCCACAGACCTGGTGGTAAATTCTTGATTGTGATGACCTGAAGGGGAGTGCTCTGACCTCGGGGATGAGAGCCGCTTTCTCAGGTCTTGGGATTCACCAGCTTTCCAGGTGGCTTGTAGCAGACCGCCTGCCAGTGCTTCAAGTAGGCCAGTAATGCCGTTCCCAAAGATTATATTGGGATAATTTTAAAGAAACAGTGAGTTGAGGTACAAGGAGGGAAAGGAAAAGTTCACCAGCTTTTGAGGTGTGCAGCTCTCCTGACCCTTCATCGGGCCCTCTGTCAGGGTGGGAAGCACACAGGAGCCACCTAGGAGCTGCTTGGACTGATGTGACGTTTTGCTTTCAGTTCGTGATTTCTGAGTGCCACAGCAAGGGTGGAACATGGCCCACAGGTTCCACTGGCTGAGCCAGAGAGCAGACACACGTGTGATCAGTCCCAGGAAACGGGGAGCGAGGCTCTGGGTTGTCTTAGTGTCCTCGGCAACATCAGGACGAGGCTAAGCTCTGTCGGTCGCTCAGATGTATCACAGAGACTGGCTAAACGCAGACGTTTTGCGACTATCAGGAGAAAAGTTTTCTCTTTGCAAATTATTGTGTAGAGCTTTATAACAGTATGGGATTCTCTGTTCAGAAGTAGGCTGAGGTAATACGTCCTCCTGGCTTGCCTGCGGGAGAGCTTCTCACAGGAGGTTACGTCCTCCTGATCGTTGTCGCGGCAGTGATGTTGGGAGGAGACGACCCAGTGCCGCATCTGGGCCCGTGTGGAGCGCCCGTGTGGAGCGCCCGGTGTCCTCGGCGTCGCTCTCTTACATCACTCAGGCGGAAGTGGCACTGCCGACTCCTGTGCCTTTCCTGGCAGTGACTTGATTTGCAGCTAAAAGTGACCCGTGAAAAGCCTCTGTTAGCAACAGTGAAGCTGGTTGCCCGAGAACTGCTGGCGCAGCACGAGCGTGACCTGTGTTTGACGGTCGCTCCAGACAGCCCGGCCGCTGTTTGCTCTGTGACGGAGGCTGCGAGCAGCATCCTGCCGTGGTGCCTCAGTCGCAGGAAGGGGCTGCGCTTTCGCTCTTGCCTTGGCTCTCATTGTAAGGACTGAAAGACGCAGGGCTTTGTTTTCTCTGAAGAAACACGACGTATACCGCCTCCTGCTATTGATACAGCCTCCTGCTGTACATGTCGCTTGCTTTGTTATTCCCAGGCCCCAGATCTTCGCTTAAGTTGATAAAAGATGCACTGTTTGCCTCTTCCCATGACCTTTAGTTCTGCAGGTTTTGAACAGAATTTAGACCTTGAGTTAATGCATTACTGCATCTGTTCGTGGGTAGTCTCACAGGCAGTAGCATTCGTCTTGAATGATGCTGCTTTTTTCATTTGTCAACGAAAGACATTCAAGTATTGCTGTGATAGAGAAGTCTGATTGGGGCCTTCTTAGTAGTGTCTTTTTAAAAATAAACTCTTAATTCTAGAACTGTTCAAGGTTTACAGGAAAGTTGAAAGACGCTATCAGTTTCCTCGATTGTGAGCCAGTACTGACCCATTATAAAATTCCATGTTCAGATCTTAGTTGGTCGCTGATGCTCCAGGACTCCACCCAGGATGCCCTGCTGCGGTCTGTCCGCCTCACCTCTTCTCTGGATGCCTTTCTCCAGCTTCTTAAAAGCCCTGCAAGTGGCACTGACAGTCACCCTAACCGGGTTGCCAGTATTCCCTCTGCCATATTGGAAACCTGAAAGTTTCATGGTTTATGCTGTTTCCTTGACCTGTTTTCCTTAGGAAGAGTCTGTGTAAAATGTTAAACTGAGACTCTTAAACTGGTTCACGGTGTCTCGTTTCTATAGGTTGCCAGAGGTATTTTTTCCCTGACCTCTTACTATAGTTCAAAAAACTACTAAACGGGGCAAACATCTAATCAGTTTTTTTTTTTTTTTTTTTTTTTTTTTTTTTTTTTGGCTGTTGGGATTATTCCTGAGTACTATAACTACCAGCAGATATTCACAGCTGGGCTCCCAGAGCCCACACGATTCTAGGTACTAACAGTTGCTCAGGTGAATGAGTGAATGAGTGAACAAACAAATGAACTAACAAACAGGCCAGTAAGTGCTTGCATGAACTCAAGTTGTAAAGTAGAGAAGTTGTAACAATTTCTCAGAGAGGACTGAGTTTGAATACTTAGTGCAAATGTGATTTTTAGCAAATCTGTTCACTAAGTCATCTCTGTTCTTTCTCATAGAAAACATCAGTGAAGATAAAGCCAAAAAGAATGCCAGCAAGCCTCTGCTGGATGAGATTGTGCCTGTGTACCGACGGGACTGTCACGAGGAAGTGTATGCTGGCAGCCACCAGTACCCAGGACGAGGCGTCTATCTGCTTAAGTTTGATAACTCCTACTCTTTGTGGAGGTCAAAATCAGTCTACTACAGAGTCTATTATACTAGATAAAGATGTTACAGAGTCCGGAGTCTAGGGTTGGGCAGAAGATGGCGTTTAATTTGGAAGTACCTTTTGACTTTATGGAGCGTTGCCGTCCATGTTTACCAGTTGATTTTGGTCTGATGGTTTGTGAACTCTTGGTGGGAGTCAGAATTTCCTTAAGACTCTTCAGCATTAATAACTTCGGGGTCGATGGGATTCCTCAGATTCATCCAGTCTTTGGGTGCTGACTGGCAGAGTTACTAGTGGATGCTGAAGTCATATGAGCTTTGTTAAATTTTTAAAGTCTCCAAAATAAAACATCCCAACTTTGGCCCCATGTGGCTGATGGTCAGTCCATTGCTGCCTGTGTGTGTGTGTTACAGGGCCCTTAGTTACAGGGCCCTCTGATGTGAAATCTTTATGTTAGCAGTCTACATGGGGTTCAGCTGACTTTGAAGGTCACCACTTTAAAAAATTTAAAGGCCTCACAGATTAGTTTTGATCTTGTCCTGAGTGACCCAGATTGGTTTGGCTTTGGGTGCAGCTGTTTAGTTCAGAGTTACATTACAGAGGACTATTTTCTGAGATAATCTTAAGATAGAATGTTCAAGTCTAATTGATAATGAACTATCAAGATAGAAGAACACATCAGATGTCCATCTTAGTAAGCCAAACCTCCACAAACTCGGAATCCTTTCCCTCTGGAATTCACGCCATCAGCAGGAAGACAGACGTGACTCAGTTTTGTCTTGATTTGGCCTTATAGAACATCTCAAAACTGTTTATTTTGTAAGATCACCCAGTGAGTGATTTTGTAAAATCAAATTGGCATCTACCGAATTAAAATGAATAAAATCATTTAAATACAGTTTTCTGTGTGAGGAACAACATGGCACCAGTACGGAGATCACTGCCAGAGATAGTTCGTTTTCTCTTAATTTGTTACTTCTAAGGTACAAATCCTACATGATGCCAGTTTGGAATTATTTACTAGTAAGAATTGGAAATGCATACGCCCATGCTCAAATTTTTATAGCTTTAATCTGTATTATGTATGTCTTACTAATGGAAAGAGGTACCTCTTGTTTTCCATCCTGAAAACAAATATGGATTAATTGCCTCAAGTTTGTGTAAGTGGTTGATTAGCCTAGAGACTCTTGTTTTCAGAAGGGAGGGTGTTATAGGTAGAAAATGACAAAGACGGCAATTTACATGTGACACTGTTACTATACATGTTACTGAAATACTTAGATTTTTTAAATTTCAAATCAGCACTTGTAGGGGACTTCAGACCATTGTTTAGCTGCAGTAGCTACAGTTCACTACGTAGGGCTACTTGTTGTGTGTACTACATTCTCTGTTTTTTAATACCTGGTTTTGTACATTTCTAACTGTTCTCTTTGGTTGTTCAGAAACTGGACTATTTTCTCCGAAGCAGTGCCGACTTTGTGTTTTTTCATTTTAATTCAGTAGCCCCAGCTCATAGAAGTCCATACCGTTAACCCAGAACACTGTCGGCTGTTCACCGGCCCTCATGTATATACGGTATAGAAACCACAGGTTAGGCACTTCCTGGCTTTTTTTTTTTTCTTAATGAGAAAATACTGTATTTAAAATGTAAAATAAACTTTTAAAAAGCAGGCACTAATATATATTTCTTCCAGCCTTTGATTACAGATTTGTCCTCGCATATGTTAAGATGAATTATCTTCTAAAAATATCATTGTTCTTGGGAGCAGTATATGTTACTTTACATAGCAGCAGTTCCTGTCATGTGTTCACATCAGGTTATTTTTGGTTTTAACTTTTTTATTGCCTTTGGCTGTTGATTAGTACAGTATAAGTGCGATTTCAAACAGATCTTAAAAATAATATATTTAATCAATTAAAATGTTTATCTGTAATTTGTTGACGTTTCATTAATACAGTCACGGAAGTATTCTCTTTCATCATTTGGGTAGGACAAGAAGTGTCTCAAATGATCTTTTCTGTTTAAAAGCTAAAAAGCTATTTCTGGCTGATTATTTCTGCTGTGAATCACCCTAGTGAGTTAAAACAGACGTAAGATTTTCAGACCTTGATGGAAAAGCGCTGACTTTCTCATTGAAAGTGACCTGTAAGGTGACTCCCCTCGGCCGGCTGCAAGTCCTTCCTGACACGTGGCACAGTGCGGGAGCAGCGAGGCCCTCAGTGTGATGCGGAGTGCCAGCGCCGTACCAGAACGACTCACTGTAGTCATTGGACACTGCAATTTTATTTCTTTAAAATTTGGAGGCATGGACTGTGGCTGTCATCTTGATCTTTCTACTGTGTCAGCACCAGGAAATCAGACTAGAGAACGGTTAGGAGAGCTGTTGACCTGTGAGCACATCCTCGAAACACGCTGCTCAGTCTTGACCCACTGAACTACAGACGAGAAGCAGCCGGCTCAGGATAATAGATGGTTGCTAGTGACTTCTTGGGACTTAGGTGCAGAAATCCAACCCAAGGCGTCATTGTGTCTGTTCCTCGTTTGTTCTGTTCTCAGTGGTTCCCTCCGCCATCTAGAATGTGTGTGTGTGTAGCTGTGGGCGGGTCAGGTCTTCGTTTCCATTCACTGAATTTTCAAAATTGTATGAATCACTATTCGATCTTCATCTCGCATGTAGTTGCTTAGGATTCTTTAACATTCTAGTTGCAAAAGAGAGTGGGGGGCAGAACAGGTAGACTGAAGCACACTGCTGAGGGCAGCCGCCGGGAGCCAGGTTGTCTGCTGCGCCTGTGGCTCCCTGCAGTGGCTGCTGACAGCTTCACACTGCAGCAGTTCACCTGCCTGCACCACCAGGGAGGGCCCTCAAGGCAGAATTATTGCAACTGCAAGTTGATTATCATTCTTTTCAGTATCTTTGTTTTGAATTTATTATCACCATTTCAGGTGCTTGTTGTTTTGCTTGCTTTGTCATGAGAGAGAAGCCTAAGCTCCATTTTTATTAAAATACCACTTTTCCCTTTTTTTTTTTAAAGATTTATTTATGCCTACAGAACTGGGGTACAGGCCAGAGGTGTGATGGGTGAGAGGCTTCACAGAGACGGAGTGGGGAGCAGAACAGGCCGATCTACTGAAGTGCACTGCTGTGGGGAGCAGCGGGTGGGTCAGGAGAGGT